TTTTTTTTTTTTTTTTTTTTTTTAAAGGGCCGCTCAGGAACCTAACCTGTGAATGGAGACTTGGGCTCTTAAAACAAGTTAGTAAAATGGAAGTTTCTTTTTTAAAATCTCACTTCTACTGTTACAATTCATTGCTGCCAACAGCCTTAATCTGAAAACTACACATCTCAAAGAGTCAAGATCACCTTGTTTGGTTTCCCTCAGAACAATTTAAAAATCAAACATAAATACAAAGCTGATGAAGGTAAAGAGGTGGGAGTTTTCAGTGGAACTTAGAAAACAGTATAGATTTTCTCCCACTCAAAAGGCAGGCAACCAGCATCAACTTAATGCCTTCAAAATTTTAGAATGTCTCTAACGTACTCCCCATCCAAAATAGAAAAAGCAACTCAGAAAAACAGCAATCTGTAAAAGGAAGATAAATTTGGCAGTATTAGCTATGCAGATTTTTTTTTCCCTTGGCTTTCATATTTTAGTTATCAAAGTGACCAATTCCATCACCTTATTTACATGGTCTTATCCTGGAATGTGAAATATGCCTTAAAGATGCAGGATAGTAATCTGCCTTATCCACTAGTCAGTGATAAACCCAATTTAATTTTTTACCAAGTGTAAGTTACATTTTAAAAAAGCACACACAAAAATCATTATGGTTCGTCTTTCATTTTCCTCCATTCTGGAGTTGTACTTAACTAATAGAAGTTCTATTCTGAAGAACAGAATTCATGTTCGTTTCCCTTCCATTCACACAAAAATAAAACCAGATTCACAAGAAACCTGGAACAACACCTGAAGAATATGCCTCACTTACAACTCTTACCCATATTGAATCAAGTTTCATAACTTGAGAGGCTTGATACACCTCTAATGAATACCAAGGCACCTAGAGTTGTTAAAAATAATAATAAAAAAAGAGAATGCTAGACTCCTCCTTTCACTCTCCTAGCTAGTAAGACTAAATGTATCAAGCCCACAGGGGTTCAGGGTCATTGGGGTTTCCTCCCCCCCTTCTGTAAAGATGGCCAAGATCAAAAAAGCAGCTTGAACTGACTTCTACGTTTCTACCATCTTTCTGTTCAACCTCTAAACTCTATATAGTACTCCAAATCTCCTGGCTTATAAATGATTGTCAACCAAGTAAAATGGTTAAGCTAGCAACTTGATCAAGCCAAAACTTGTATCTGGATATTCCATGAAGGTAAAAGTATACTGACTCTTCATTGGAGCATTTCTGAAAATATAAAAATAAAAATTATACATAAAATTATTAATTTATATATTAATATAATATATT